ACTAGGCCTTCCTAGTCGTTTAGTTTTTTCCACTTCTATTCAAAAAAATATTTAAAAAATGAGTGGGTTGAGTTTAGAGAATAGAAAGGTAAATGAACCCAATGGGAAGGGGGAATCTTGTAACTCTGTCAGAAATCATGTCAACACTCGTAAATTAACAAGGTATGTGGGAAGAGGGAATCTCGTAACTTTGTCAGATATCATGTCAACACTCGTAAATTAACAAGTTATGTGGATACAATCAATAGGAAGAGGATACAATCAAGAGGAGGAGGAGAAGAAAATCACGTAAATCTGTTAGAGGTCATGTCAACTAAAGATGTAAAATCGGGTAATTGTTCATGTTTCAGTCGGATCCTGTCAGGTCGGGTAAAATCGGATACATGTTAAGTATGGTAAATTTGATGTTTTGACTCGGATCAGGTCGGGTCATTTTCAAGTTGATTTGACACCAGGTACAGTTCGGGTTCAGGTCGAGTTACTTTCAGTTCGGATCGATGTTAGTTCAGGTCAAAACAGTTCAAGACCAGGTTAACTCAAGTTCGGATAGACTTCAGGCAGATTTCATTCAGATCAGGTGACATCATTGGCAGATAAAATTCAGGTCGGATCTTTATCATATACGAATTGAGTTCAACTTGGATCAATTTTTATTTTTGGATTAATTATTTTCGTCTTTCGCGAAAGTTGAATTACAATTTGTAATTGTATATGATTTAGAGTAAATTACTAAGAATATAAATAATCATGGATCAATTTTATGAAAAATATAAAATTAAGGACTAAATTGAACAAATATGAAATTATAAGTAAACATTTAAATAAATTAAACAACACACATTAATGAGGGACCAAATCGAAATAATTTTAAAATACGAGGTTGAAATTAATATAAAAAGTACTAAATTATACTCATTTAAAAAGTTATGAACCAATTAAAAAATATAAATAAGTAATAAGTATGGGTCAATTTCAGATAGAAATATAATTTTAAGGACTAAATTGAACAAATATGAAATTATAAATAAAAATTTAAATAAATTAAACAACACAAAGGTATCAAATTGAAATAATTATAAAATGTGAAGAAAATTTGTAAAATAGACTAAATTGCATTCATTTAAAAAATGAAACAATTATAATATATATACTATATATGAACAATATATATTATGTATAAACTATATAATTTATATATAAAGTATATATATTATATATCTAAACTATATATATAAACTATATAGTTTATATTTATAATATTATATACTATATATAAACTATATATATTATGTATAAATTATATATTTTATTAATATAAATTATATATTTTATTAATATAAACTATATAGTTTATTAGTATAAACTATACAGTTTATATTTATATTATTATATATTATATATAAACTATATATATATTATGTATAAACTATATATAACAGGTATAAACTATATAATTTATATATGAACTATTGAACTATATATAAACTATATAGTTTATTAATATAAATTATATAGTTTATATATAAATTATATATGAATTATATTTAAATATATACATCTTATATTTATATATACATAATTATAAATTATATATACTATGTATAAATTATATAGTTTATATAGTTTAAATATAAAGTATATAAGTATATATATAAAGTATAAATTATATATATATATATATATATATATATATATATATATATATATATATAGTATATATACATATATAATAATATAAAGTATAAGTATATTTATATATATATATAAAGTTTTAGTATAAATATATACATATATAATAATATAAAATATAAATACTATATATATATAAAGTATAATTATAAAGACTAAAGTATATAAGCATATAATATAAAGTATATAAGTATATAAAGTATATATATATAAAGTATAAATATATATATATATATATATATATATATATATATATATATGTATATAATATAAAGTATATATATAACTATAAACTATATATATATATACACACACACTTTATATTATATACTTATATACTTTAGTCTTTATAATTATACTCTCTCTATATATAATATACTCATACTTTATATTCATATATATGTATATACTTTATACTAAAACTTTATCTATATATATATATATATATATATATATATATATATATATATATATATATATATATATATATATACTTTATTATACTTATATACTTATATTATATATGTATATATTATATATATATATATATATATATATATATATATATATATATATATATATATATACACTTTATAGTTTATATATATACTTATATACTTTATATATACTTATATACTTTATATTTAATATTTATATACTTTAGTCTTTATAATTGTACTTTATATATATAATATAATACTTATATATATATATACACACTTTATACTTTAAAGTATGTATACCTTATAGTTTATATATATATATATATATTATACTTTATAGTTTACACTTTATATATATACTTATACTTGTATATATATATATATATATATATATATATATATATATATATATATATATATATATATATATATATATATATATATATATACTTATAATGTATTAATCTATGCATAAGTATAATGTACATTATATATACATGCATCATATTATCATAACATTCATTATATGTGTTATATATATATTATAATTGTTTTAATTTTCCCCAACTTTTGAAATTAATGCAATTCAGTCCATTTTACAATTTGAAAACAAGTCAGGTTCATAACAAGTCAATAACAAGTCAAATCATTTACAGGTCAAGTTGAAAACAAGTCAGATTCATAACAGGTCAGGTTGAAAATAGGTCGGGTAATACTAGTTATTTAGCAGGTCAATCTGGGGTTCTGGATCATATCAGTCAGATGTAGGTCGGGTTCGAGTATCATATTTTCGATTCAATTCGGGTTCAGGTCGGGTTCAGATCCATAATTTCCAGGTCCAACTCGGGTTCAGGTCAACACCAATTCTGACTTTAGTCGGTTTCGGATCGCCACAATGTAGGTCAAAAACAGTTTTAACTTGAGTTGGTTTCAGTAAGTTTTACAGGTCGAGTCAGCTTTTTACACCCTTAATGTCAACACTAGTAAATTAGCAAGTTAGGTGGATACAATCAAGTAGAGTTGAATTTGGATATAGTAAATCACATGAGTGTGTAAGAGGTAATGTCAACAAGTAACAATTTTCCGAGATCTAGATCTTTGAGATCCCCTTCTAGAAAAGTCCTTATGTTTTCCCGAATTTGTGAGAGATGTTGAATGTTTGAGATTCTTTCTCTTAATATGTTATCTCAAAATTGTGAAGAGATAACGATATTATTGGAGAAGTCTTAATGAAAGTATCAAAATAAAGTGATGACTTAATTGAATATATAGAGATTATAATTTTTATTTGATTTATATTATAAGTGTTTTATTTATGTATTTGGTTTTTAAATATAAAGGAGTTCTGATTGTAGGTGACATTCACAAACTCGACAATAATCGAAGGTCAAGTTTGAGATGTTACGAATGAAGTAAAAAAGTGATTATTGGACCATAAAGGTTTTCATTTGAGGTTATGAAGGCTAGCATAAACAATCATGATCGAAAAATAGCATTCACTTCTTTTTTTATGACGGATCCGACATAAAACAAATTAAAAGCGATTAAGAAGAAAATAAACTTGAATACGATCATAGCAATATAATCAAATGCCACCAGAGAAATCATTAACTTTAACGTGATAAAAAATTGGAAAATCCAAAGTAGTAATAATAATGTCAAACCAACGTTACCTAATTCTAGTTTCCACAAAGAAATAAAACATTGCTTATGATCTCTCAAAGTAGTAACAGTTCATGTTTCAAAACAGTTATATAAGCTGAGATATACGAGACGGCACAAGACAGTTCAACCTAGGGGTGTAAACGAGCCGAGTCGAGCTCGAGTATTGCTGAGCTCGACTCAAACTCGAAAATCATTTAGGTAAGCTAGATTCGACTCGAAAACTCGCGAGCTAAAAATTATCAAGCTCGACTCGAACTCGAAATATATTTTTGAAACTCGACTCGAACTCGAAAAGACTCGAACTCAAAAAAAATTCTCGAGCTTGATTGAAGCTCAAAACTCGAACTCGATTGAAGCTCGATTCAAACTCCACGGGTTAATTTTCATTTTCTGAAAACTCATCCCCTTTTATACACTCACTTTACCCCTTATTCCCCAAGAAACACCGATGTGGGATATAACTTACATGATCAACTCACCTGCCAAATTCCAAGCTTCTTTTCACTCTCATCTTTGATCTCTGTTTCAAAAACAAAGCTTCATGAGGAATAAAAAACCAAACTGGTGGTTGAACTGATTGTTCTTTCAGTTCCTATTTCAAACGGTTGAAAATGAATTGCTCTAAAGTTTGGTTTAAAAGGCTGAAACTTTTTGGTTTCCAGTTTTCTAGTAAGTTTGGTAGTTTTGATAGTAATCTGGTTCAATGTAATCGCCTGGTCTTGTTTGGTTTCTTAATTATTGTTTTTTCTGCTCCCCTTCTTGGCATAGAACTCTTATTTTTTAGATTCCTGGATTTGTCATATTTTAGTTACGAATCAGTTCATAAATCTATTACACTTGCTTGCTTGCATATACGATTCCTCGAAAACTTTTTCTCAAAATGCTGAGTTGACAGATTTGTTACGAATCAGATTCGATTGCCCGATTTGTTTCATAACTAATTCGCGAGATGATTTTTTTCTGGTTCGTATTCACTGAGCATCGCTTCCCTCTTCCACTTTGTTTTCGATTTATGATTTTGTACTCTGCACTTATTTGATTTCCATCAGTAATTATCCTTTGTAGAGAAACGAAAGACCTATGGATGCAGTGCCAACACGATGCACTTTAACCAAGTTTGCCTTCGAAAATCGATGTTGAAACAAAATGGTTATTGATTTTTAGTATATCTCCTTTTGGTTTTGCTTTCTTGTTTGGTTGAAGTGTCGAAGGTCACAGAAGGGAGGTGTAAACTCTATGAATTGAAACCCCTCTAACAATTGAACAAATGCCTTCGCAAATCCATTTTCCGAATCGTAGGATGCCCAAGTACTCCATTTTTGGAGCGTCTTGAACCCTCGGCTACATTTTCCTACATTTTCGTAGGATGCACTTGTTTGTTGCAGAAAGCTTGAGGATACACAAAACAGAGAGTTGAAGAGAGAAAAAGAAAACCAAAGAAACATGGACAGTGGACAGATATTCAAGCCCGTGTTTTAGAAATGGAGTATTAGCATTTTAGGACCTGTTATATTTGTAATCTTCTGATTTCGTCATTAATCAAGGTTTATGTTTTTATGATTTGAGTTGTTAATTTATTTTTATTTTATGTTTTGATCACCGTTTGTTTTGATAATGGACCTATTGATTGATTTGACCAAGTGTGATTTATTAGTTTATTTACATATAAACCCTTGTTAATTTCATTAATTTCATTTTGCATAATTTGTATATTACTTTCATGTGCATAACTTAACCCCTATCACATAATCAAATTAGGGGTTTATGGTTTAGGACTTAAGGCTTAGGGTTTACGGTGTATTGTTTAGGGTTTAAGATTTAAGGTTTATGGTTTATAGTTTAAAGTTTAGGGTATATTCTAATTTGTGCTTAATTAAATTTTCTTTTTTTTCTTTTAGTACCGTATCACATAATCGGATTAAAAGTTTAGGGTTTAGGGTTTGGATTTAGGGTTTAAGATTTAGGGTATAATCTAATATGTGTTTAATTAAGAGAAAATAACCTCAGTGACCGAAAATTCCTTATAATATACGATTTTAACCAACTTTTTTACGATTTGCCAAAATGACCAACAAAATCGTAATGCGATCTCTAAATCGCAACGCGATCTCCATTATCACAATTCACTTTCCAGATTCGCAACGCGATTTTGACCATCGCATTGCAATTTTCGAAATCCGCATTGTGATTTTAGATAATCGCAATGCGAATATGTAAATCGCAATGCGATTCTGACTATTGCAATGCGATTTGGACTATCGCAACGCGATAATACGTGATCGCAATGCGATTCTGACTATCGCAACGAGATTCTGACTATCGCAACGTGATAATACGTGATCGCAATGCGATTCTGACTAACGCATCATTGAATTTCAAATTCGCAACAGTTTTAGTTTCGCAACACATATGGGTATATAACTACTACGCAGCAGCATCAACTCATAACCTAAATCCCTAAATCGCAACTCATTCTATCTCCATCTATCACTCTCTCTGGCGAATCCGTTCCTATATCCAACGACATCCTTCCCCATCCGGCAACAGGTTTTAGTTTCGCAGCTCGTTTGTTTAGTAAATTAATTTACAATAATGAAATCATCTAATGTTGATCATGTTTGGATAGATTTGTGTTTTGGAGGGTCATGGGAGAATGTTCATGGTGTTTTACAATATATGCATTTACCCATGAATCTTCAACTAAAATTGTCATTAAAAAAGTTAACTTATGAAACTCTAATGTTACGTGTTGCAAATAAATTGAATTTAGCCGGATTTAGGCTATCTTATCAGAGAAAAGGTAAAGTTTATTTGTTAACCGACAATGAAGATGTTGAACGATTCATTGCTTACATTAGTGTTTCGCAAGATGATGTTAAATTGTATGTTGTTGAACCTAGAAGTAGTGAAGTTGGGTCAGTAGCGGGTAGTAATCAACTAAGTTTTTCAACCACAGTTTATGGTGCTCAAAATTTAATGGTTCCACCACAATTTCATCACCAAGCAAATTTTGTTTCACCACATTTCCAATACCAAACACAATCTCAAAACCCACAACCTTTCCCTAATCCAAATCCCAATCAATTTTCAGCACCAAATTCCGGTTTTCGTATTAACCAGTTAGACGATGATGAGCCAACAGAAAAAATTGTGAGTACTAGTCGGTATTCGAAATTTGATCTTGGTCAATACCCGGACATTGATCTTGGTCAATACTCGGATTTTGATGATGTTTCAGAAGAAGAAACAGACCATATGTGTAATGATTTTGATATTGGTCAATACCCGAATTTTGATGATGAAACAGCCGCTGTCGAGGAATATGTTGGTGATGATAATGAGGAGAAAGTTACGACTGTGAATGAACATGTTGAACATCCATTATGTAATTCATATAACCCTGAAGAAGAAAAAGAAGAAGAAGAAATCCCCGAAGAAAAGTCCCCGAAGAAAATGCCACGGGAGTATAACTGGAATATGCCAGAATTACTTCAGATACCGGAAGAAGAGTTGGTAAAAATAGCAGTTGATTGTTACACAAAAATTATTCGTATCAAGAAAGATGATTGTTTTGATACAAAGGAATACTTGAAGATAGCTTTGTATACGAAATGTGTGGAAGATGGCTATCAACTAAAAGTTAACAAATCAAGCAAAGATTGTTTCGAAACAAGGTGTATGATTGACAAAAACTGTATGTGGCGTATGATTGCAAAGAGGATAAAAGATTTCGAAATGTTTCAATTTAGGAATTTTATTGATAAACATACATGTTCAAGAACCCAAGTTTTTCCTCACCATAGACAGGCAAACAAAAAGGTGTTGGGTGGTTTTCTGGCTGAGTTAATGTTTTTGAATGGCAGGGTATATCGGGGACATGAAATTATGACTGACATGAATGCTCGGTTCAAGATTAGTATCTCATATTCTCAAGCTTGGAGAGCAAAATGTTATGCCTTGGAATTGTTGAGGGTGTCGCCAGAAGCATCGTTTGCCCAAATGCCGGCTTATTGTCACAATTTAAAGCTGAAAAATCCTGGGTCGGTAACTGATATCAAAATAGATAGAGATGGACTCTTTGAGTTGCTGTTTATCGCCATTGGTGCTGCAGTTAGTAAATCAATATAATTTTGTTGACTCATTTTTGTTAGTTACATGCATTTCACATTTAAATGATTATATTTCTTGTATATATGATTTTGTAGATTCGTTCGTTTATTACTTGCATGCGCCCAGTTATTATAGTTGACAGAGTATATTTAAAAGGTCGATACCTTGGAGTAAACTTATTAGCAGTAGCCATGAATGCTAACAATGGGATACTACCAATAACTTACGGGGTTGGCAAATCTGAAACCTCTGATTCATAGACATGGTTTATGGGGCATCTTAGGGATTGCATAGGTCCTATTAGCAATCTGACAATCATATCCGATAGGGAAACTCAATTGACAACGCTGTTAGAAGGTGTTTTCTAGATGCTTTTCATGGAATTTGTGGTGTTCATTTATATAGAAATCTAAAATCAAGGTCTGCTGGTATAAAAAATCACAAATGGACATACTGGAAGGCTGTAAAAGCTTATCGGGAAGTGGATTTTAATAAGCATATAAATTGTTTAAGACGTGTTTTGCCTCAGTGTGCTCAAACACTATAAGATATCGGGTTTGAAAGATGGTCAAGAGTACACCAACTTAGAGCAAGATATGGTTTCATGACGTCTAATAGTGCATAATCAATCAACGCTCTAAGTCGTCATTCCCGAAAATTACCTATTATTATGTTAATGGAGTTTTTTCGAGCCTCTATTCAATAGTGGTACTACAAGAAAAGAAACCATGCAAGTATTATTTCTTTAAATTCGTAACTTATCATATAATTTACTAAGTATTATTTATTTAAATTTACAGAAACATTGGAACATCGTGTTACACCATGGACTGAAAAAAAGATAACGAAACGTGTTATAAAGTCAACGTCATGGAGAGTTGAACCATGTTCAAACACTTTGTTTGAAGTACTGGATAATAACTTAAATGGGCTTGTCGATCTAAATGCAAAGACGTATAGTTGTATAAAATGACAAACATCTAGTTATCCGTGTGGCCATGTTATAAAAGTTGCTCTTCATCTAAACCAAGATGATTCAAGCGCATATGATATGGATTGCTACACTACAGAAGTATATCGACAGACTTATGCCGAGATTATCTACCCTATTCCACATCCTTCTGAGTGGGACATACCAGATGACTTACAAACAGTTTTGCCACCAGCCATGGACAGAAGGCTACCTGACCGACCAAAAAGTCACGATCGTATACCGTCTAAGGCTGAAGAGAAGAAGAGATCGATATGTAGTCAGTGCAAGGAAAGTGGTCATACAAGGTTGACATATGGATCACCAGTGCCATCACAATCATCTTTTCCTCTACCAAAATATGGATCATCATTAAAATCCAAAGCTCATATGGTGTCAAGCAAAAGGCAATCAAAATCGCAATCAAAATCAAAATCCCAATCACAACCGGCTTCACCTTTTGGGACTATTAACTTAGGTGATTTTTAAATGCAAACATTATATTATGTGTATTTTATGTGTAAACTTTTAATATTTTCAGTTAGGCCCATGTATATTAGTAACTTGAGTTTGAACATTGTTATGATTTGTTCAGTTGTTATCACTTATTACACATTCATTTGACTATCGCAACGCGAATATGACTATCGCAACGCGAATATGACTATCGCAACGTGAATTTGAATATCGCAACGGGATAATCGCAATGCAAAATGACTATCCCAACGCGAATTTAACTATCACAACGGGATAATTGCAATGCGAAAATGATTATTGCAACGCGAAAATGACTATCGCAACGCGAATTTAACTATCGCAACGCGAATTTGACTATCGCAACGAGATAATCGCAACGCGAAATGACTATCGCAACGCGAATTTGATTATCGCAACGGGAATTTGACTATCGCAACGAGAAAATCGCAAAGTGTATTAGACTATCGCAACGCGAATATAATGCATATTGAAATCAACAAATCAACTTTTACATTTCAATCAATTAAACAAGCACAAATAATAATTATTTACACATCAATTAAACAAATAAGAATTATTTACACATCAATTAAACAAATCAACTCTTATTATATTATTTTTCTCATCAATTAAACAAGTAAGACTTTTAAGAATCAATTACAATAAAAAAAGTGTACCCCAGACATTTGTTTATGCACATCAATTTCACGCAGCTCACTTCAGGATTAACCTGCAGAAACCAAACATTTGCTCAAACAACACTTTCTACACATCTAAAACCAACAAACAGCAAA